TAGGCTGCTGATATTTCACATTCACACGCATGCGCAGATACATACACGCGTTTGAATTTAAATTCAAGAAATTTATGCAAAAGAAAATATTTATTGAGCACATTTCGCGTCTAAAGCATTATACGATTATTAGCGTTGCATTCTAAATCAAAGTAATCTTCGAATAATTTTAACATTTTTATTTTCACGAATATTACAATGATTTTTGAAAAACTCGGGAGCATTCTTTTCTTTAAGTTTATAATTTGAAAACATTTTTATTTATTAAAAGCGAGATTCATTTCTTATTCTTATTCATTTCTCGATAGAAAATAAAGAATTTGATATGGTCTTTTTATAGCCTTTTTAATTCAGGGCGTAAGTAATCGTGACCTTCCAGAGATTCCTTTTCTTTATTATCTGCTAATTAACATGAATTTTGTGGAAAGCTAGTTGATTCCTGGTGCCTTCTTCATGATGTGGAATTCAGTTTTACTTCATTTAAACTACTTGCCACCCAAAGCTAGATATCCTAGTCTACCCTACTGCTTAATCCATAGATGATCGGAAAAGGAAACGGACTCAAGCCTTTCCCAAGACTATTAAGTGAAAACGACTGTAAAAGACCAAGACGGAATTTGAACTCGGCTCACTGACTTCCCATTCGGTGCCAATATCTGCTGCCTTATATACAAATCCTATTTTACATCTCAATAATATGTTTGTGTTGTGATAAGAGCCAGTTACCCACCTTAATATTATGAATAGACTGATCTATTCATGATAAGTAGGCTTGTGTAATTGTCAAAGGGAGATAATACAGTTGCAGTGACTTGTCTATCTGAGTATTGAATACTGCTATCATAACTGATCATCACAAATGTCGAGTTAAGTGTTATGTCTTGATCCCACACCACATCAGTTTGTTTAATGGTATATCGACCCATTATTCGTCATTTAATGCCGAAATTTAATTTCTTGTGAGCTTTGGTAATTTTTTATTATTAAAATTTATTGCTGGAAATCTATTTTTTTACTATTAAATCTATTGCTGGAATTTTTTAAAATATAAAAATCTATTGCTTGTATTGTTACACTTTCACAGTGTTTTAACACCTGTTTGGGGTTTCACTATTTGCCTATAGATGAGACCCTAACAGGTGTAACCACTTCGGGTTAGGGTGGACCTGGGAACAACAGCAATTAAGAGTTGATTCTACGCTTCTCACAACTTCTTCATCAGAAGCCTTGCTACCGGATATAGTTTATCGTCATACACAGAACGTACCAATAATGTAATCTTTTGTATAGAATATATTAAGCTAATGTCACTTTCCTTAAATTTAGTTTGAAGGTTCGAGTTTAGATGCAGTTTCTATCTTTATACATTTTACAATTTGGTTGATTTTTCATCTTTCACTAGATCCACACTATATAATCATTTTTTTTTGTTCAACATTCTTTTTAGTTTGTGATGTTATCATCAATTCTTTATCCATTCCTAATTGACGATTTCTGCACAGTGAACTTGTTGGGCGTTAATTCATAAATCCATGAGGGATTTAAGATAGAAATCACCGAGCAACAGGCAATTCAAATGAAATATTATTGGTTAATCCTTGAAAGCATGTCAAACACAATGTTGCATGCATTGCCCTCCTCTGTTTTCTGTACGACTGCGAATCGATATTGAGATTGACAGCGGAAATAGAGTGAAGAATCCAAGTATTAGGAATGAAATGGTACAGAACAATCTTACGTGTGTCGCATTGTGTCATTTGTGATGCGGTCTACGTAGAGACAACATTAGAAATGACGTAGTGCGAGAGGCTATCAAAGAAGAAACAGACAGATCTCATAATCACCATCAAGAAAGGACAGTTGAAATGGTATCGATGCATCATAAGAGCCAATAATCTGTTCACTGCCATCATACAATGTATAACCTTATGCAAAAGGAGAGGAGGTGAATAGAGGAAAAAAATAAGTTGTCACCGTCACTGAGGGAACCGGAAGATCAATCATAGTCTCAGATCTTGGCTCGCAAACAAAATATATGGAATGAGCTGATCCGGCGCTCGGCTTCGAAGCGTCTTTATAACCACAAACGGTCATGGGATTGACGATGATGATGATTGTTACGAGAAGCTAATGTCCTTACCTTAAAAAGGACGAAAGCTCAAAATACAATCGAGTTACTTCCTTTGTCTGTTAAGACAAGGGCGCTACTTCTGAATTGAACATAGCGACCAGCTGACACACACATAGAATTCATTGTTTCAATCCATACAATCCTTGCCGTTCTCAGACAGGGAATGAATAAAAGCTGTTTATTTATGTGCTAGAATAGACTTTTTTTTATTTTCATTCGTTAATTTTTGTTCACCGTAAATTTGTAACAGAGATTCTAACAAGAGCTAAGGCGATAAACTACATCCAGCAGCAAGGCCTCTGATCGGAAGTATGGAGGTTTTGAGAAACGTGGAATCACCTCTTAAATGCTGTTGTTCCCAGGTCCACTCTAACCCGGGGTGGTAGCACATGTTAGGGTTCCAGCTATGGCCAAATACTGACCAAAACAAAACATGAAAGTACAAAAATACTTTTTTATAGTAAAATTATCAGCAATATATTTTTATATTAAAAAATACCAACAATACAATTTCATAGTAGAATGACCACCAATACGGTTTATCTCTAGTAGAAGGCATACAATTATGTTCAAAATATATGTAGTGGAAATCATAAAATTGTTCAAAATATTTTGATTTTGGCATTAAATAACCCATAGAGGTGTTGATATGTCTCTAAAAAATCAATCAACCAAGAAGAGCTACAAACATTTTAGCGAGCAAATGTTCTAAGCGACCCTTGACAAATATTTTAGGCAGTTCAATATAACATAGCAGGACGCAGAAAAATGGCCAATCAAAATCGAAATGACTTGAATTTAACAAATATTGCAGGTGTAAATACTGTCAAACATTGTCTACAATGAAATAATTTGTTTGGTCGAATTTAATTCTAAGAAATACGACTAAACATAAACCTTCTCAAAACAGAAAAAATAATTTGAAATTGGAATGAAAGCGGTGATAGTAATTGCCCTAAATTCATCATAAAAAATTCAGGATGTGGAATCAGTTAATACTAAAGACTTCAGATATCTCGCAGTATACATCAGTATAACAAATTTAGTATAATAGATAAGGAAATCAAAGACAGAATAGTCTGTGCTAGGATCAATTTCGACAAACACCGCAAATTGCTACAAAAACAAATGATTAACCTGAAAACTTGTCATGAATAGCCTCGTCAGATCGAGGCATTCATATGGATGTTAGGCATGGTGCCAAACTATTTCAGGAATATCTAAACTGTCAGTTCTATACATCCGCTTTCTATGATCAATGGTTAAAAATAGCTTTGAGCAACTGAAGCCTGAAGGTCTTGACAAAACTACGCTTCTTTGAGCATTGTGAACTGACGCTACAGAATCACAAAGAACTTTACCAAATAACGGAAACCACATCACTTGAAGACTACAAACAACGGCAAAAACTAAATGGATAGCACGTGTAACTCGAAGAGAAAATAATGACAATCTAAATACTGACATTTCACACGACTTCAAATAAAAGGTTAAGAACAAAACCCCCATTAATACTGGAAAGAGCGATAACAGCTACTGGACTTGAGGAACTTATTTCTCTGAAAAATTGTTTCAAGAGAAAGATTTTATAAATTTCCATTGGCAGTAGTACTGTGTTGTAGAGTAGTTTTCACAGGGGAGGCTTGTATTTCACTAAGTTGGTCCTAAAAGGTTTCGACGTACAAAACGTTAGGAACTTGAAATAATAGTTAATGGCGCAGCAATCTAGTTGTGGTGGTCGATACTTTAATGTCCGACATCGACTGACTCGACCAACTCCACTGAGCCCCCCTGGCGACTGCTACTACTACTATTTATTATATGTGGGAGAGTCTATTACAATAGAATAGGTATGTTCTAGTATAACATACTGGCTGCTCGGTCAGTGAATACCGAATATTTTTTAATAAGTAAACGGCTAATATTACCATTATCGTTGGCTAGAAAACCAAAGTTGATGATAAAACAAGTGAAATGCAGAATACTGTGATGTGCTTCCAAAAGTGAATGGTTGTCTTGGATTTAAAAGAAAAGGGTTATTTTTCTCATATGAATGCTGAATTGAACTTTCTCCAAGTATGTGACAATTCGTAAGAAGAGCCTGTAATTGGCAATTTATCAAAACTATGCTACGAAAAAACAGTGATGAAAAAAAAAAAAAGCGGATGAAAAAAAATTATGCAATGTAAATATATATTAAAAAAAAAACTCAACGTAAACTCGATGAAACCATAAACCAAATATATTAACATTTATATAGGATAATGCAGTACGTCACATTTACTCGTCGACGATAAATTATTTAAACGAAAAAGGCATTGACTATTTTGAAAATTTGCCAAATCAGTCTCCTGACTTGAATATTACAGAAAATTGTTGGAATGCACTATGGCGATAAGTGAAAGATTAATATCCAGTGACTATTCATCAACTCAGACAGGTCACAAAGTTTGAGGGGTCAAATATTGATCATTTCTTTACTTTGAATTTATATTCATTACTAATGAAATGAATTCCGACTGTTTTAAAGAAAGAAGTTAGTAAGAAATACTAAATAATTATTATAATTACAATGCATATTACTTTTTGAGATTGGTCGAATTAAATTTGTATTTATCATTCTAAACTGCCTAAAACTTTTACTCGCTAATTTTTTGTAGTTCTTGTTAAATTTTCTACTCGTCATTAAATATTGAAGATATCTAGAAAAACAAACATAAAAATATGACGTTTTATTTGTCAAAATTAGAATAACAGAAAATTCTATTTCTACTACATCATCAAAAATGTTAGAGAGATGGGAAATTCTCTATATAGTGTTTTTATATATCGATCCGCACATACATATGTGCACAAAAGTGGGTTTAGCTTACGGACATAGCACATTGAAACACCCGTCCCCGTACAATCACCGAAGTTAAGCAACGTTTAGCCTGGTTAGTACCTGGATGGGTGACTGCTTGGGAATACCAAGTGCTATAAGCGTGAATGTATGGGTGGATAACGACTTGAAATCGGGGAACCGAGTTCTGATTCCAATCGGGTTTTGTTATAGTCACTCAAATACTTTGGGGAAAGGTGTGAATCCACCTCCCGTACCCCAACAAGTAATGTTATGGTTTAATTACTAAGACTTGTATCAGTAAATTATTATTATCTCCAAAATATTCTTACAATCTAAAAACAATATTTTCTGGCATTAAATAGCCTGGAAAACGTTCATAAGCCATAAAAACAAATCAATAAAAAAACAAGTGTATTGATGGTGACTTTCTAAACATAGCTCAGATGTAGCACAAGAACGAAAGTTTTGGGGCACTCAGTAAGGATCGAAATCACTTTTCAGTCGTAATTGATCTAACGAGACAAGCTAGTTAACCATTACATCACATTGAAGTGCCCCCCCCCAACACGTTTACTTATGTTTGTTTATTCATTTATATTTGTAAACAGACCGGTTTGTTGAAACGTTACAAATGCCATACAAATTTTTGTTGATAAGGCAATATTTGTTGATTTTTTTCCTTTTAAGACATATCTTAACGTTAGCATATCAACTGCCTTCAAAATATATTGGTAGCGTACGTCATTAGTAACAAGATTTTCTTTTCTTTTTTTTGTTCTGTTCTTTCATTTGAAATCATTCTCATAAGATTCAGCTGCGCATGAAAATAACTGCGTAGTTCTTATGGATTCTTCTGCAGCGAGACATGATGACGAAATTAAACATATCCATCATGCTTATCAGGAAATGTTTTTTTGCTAGTTTGTCTCGAGACACAAACTAATCGCTTTGGACAAGTTAACCGCGTTTTTTTTTTTATTTATTTTACAAATTCATTTCCGTCTTGTGTTATCGATAGATTTTGTCTCTCTTTGTCGCTCGATACAGCCACACAGAATGTGAACTTGTACATTTATTCTCCCTTCTAAAAGCTTGTTTCTCAATATTCTACACAAGCAGAGCTAGTGTAAGGTATCGTCCTCTCAATTTATCGTATGCTCCCCAATCTATTATACTGCTCCTCCCGAATCTATGATACGAGCCTCCACCACAACACTAATACATCTAAATTTTCATAAGGTAGTTTTTATATAAAATGCATATCTTATCGTAATCCAATTATAATGGATCATATACAATATAGGTGAGCAATTCAAGTAGAAAATTGAAAACAAATAAAATGAATCAAAATACAAATTACAGAGAGATAATAAATCTTTCAATCTTAAATAATACAACAATATTTTGCGATGATTTTTGACATCAACTTGAGATTCTTGTTAAAAAGTTGAATAATTTTAAGACATTCAACATTATGGATAAAAAATAGTGAATTTTATATAATGTGTATTTTTTTTTTTTTGAAAATTAGCATAAGCAAAACAAAATTCATGGATCTGGATGAAAAAAAAGACCTAGAATGACGTCAAAATCTGCGAAAAATTTCATCTTTTAATAGTCATTTGCACTTAGATTAATTTGTAACGTATATAAATGTAGATAGAAAAAAGCAAATGTTGATATGATAGCGAGGGTCATAAAGCACTGCCCAGAGCCCTTAATCAAGCATGGGCCGCCAACCTGTCAAAGGATTTCGGGGGTAGTACGTTCTGTACGCAATAATGAACAGTCAAAAGTTGAAAAAGCTGAGATTAAAACAAAAGTGATGTCTTATCGTCAGTCCAGCATGAATAACGGAAAGGTTGCTTCTAAAAATAGAGGCTATGCCCGTTTTAACGTCTACATATTATTGCCTTGTTCCTACAAATGAACTCTTTTTTTGCTGTTGATATTGTTACTATAACTTTACTACCAATCCATTAAATGTACACTAATATATCAACCGATGCGTTTGCGTTTAGTTCTTGTTTTATAAGCAAATTAGACGCCTAAACATACAAAAAAGACTGAAGAATATATCTGCTAAGTTGTATTTGGTAGCATCAACAGTACAAATAAATTAACTTCTCAGAACAAGGTTTGGATTATTGATAACTTGTCTCAGATTTATAGACAATAAATACTTGTTTCATTCAATGAGTATGGATATATACTTGTATGTACGCGCTGTGTATGTGTATCCGCATTTGATCTTGTGTCATGCCAAGTCAAGCGTTAATATACTTTAAGGGGAGATAATACTTCAATTTAGACAAAACTTTGTGCTTGAATTTGAAAAAGAGTCTGAATATTCCAGAAATGATTATGAATTGAATAATAGTGGAGATAAATGTATTCACTTTGTGATGTTAGTTGTCATAACAAATCTGAACGGATGAACAAGCAATCGAAAGAATAAAGAAATAAATATGAGTGATTAATAAGAGAATTAACGAATGAGAGAATTAACGAATGAGAGAATTAACGAATGAGTGAATTTATGAATGAGAGAATTAACAAATTTGAGAAGAGTTATATGTGAGTAAATGAAAGGCAGAATGTATTAATCAATAAAGGAACAAACACGAATTGACGAATGAGTGGTTAAGGAGAAATGAATGAATGAATTTAAAACATAAATGAATAAAGGCACATTACTAGATTAATAAATGAGCAACTGAAAGTGTGAATGAATGAATGAATTGGTGAAGCGTTACAAATTGTGACTCACCAAACAATAACTATTTTTGCTCGTTAAACCTATCTTCAGTATTTAATTATTCCGAGTCTCATCGAAATGAATGCCAGACACAATATTCTGTCGAATAAGATTGAGGAACGTAGAAGTAAGCTATGAAAGACAGATAGGCGTTAAAACGGGTATAGCGTCTATTTCTAGAAGACGTCTTTCTGTCATGCATCTTGGACTGACGATAAGACATCACTTTCGTTTTGATAGACTAAAAATTTTGTTAACTCATTTATCCAAAAGCAAGGCAATAAATACCACCTTAGATGCAAGGGGTTACTGAGACTGAAAGAAACAGAGAGAATAATAAAAGAAGAGGATGCAAGGAGACATATGACGTTATAATGTCAGTTGATCACACATTATAAGTACAGAGAAACAACAATACGTTGATATAATAAAATCAGATGATCACGCAATTATATGGTACAGAATAACAAACATAAATCAGTTGATTCCAATTCTAGTAAAGAAGAACGTAATGTCGACGTTATAAACTCAGTTGATCATGTAATGCAAATACAGAAGAACAATAAGTTGATATAATAAAGTCAGTTGATCCCACCATTATAATACAGAAGAACAAAATTAAGTCGATGTTATAGTGTCAGTTGATCACGAAATACATGTACAGAGGAACAATAATAAGCATTTTTAAAGAATAACTTTTTACCAATTTTGTAAAGAAATTCCTAAATCATTTATGGAACATGTTTTAACTTTTCATCATGATGTTTTCAGCATCTCTTCATTTCATATAAACAAGACACAAGATAATAACCCTTAACTACAAACGTTGTAATTGCAATGGGGTGTCATTAAAGTGTGTTATTTTTCGACCAATGGTAACCATTGTTTATCTGAATTGCCGATGACTCAGTCATTTCGCTACATTAAAGCCTTACTCAACAAGACAATCATTTTTAATTCCATTTTCTGCCATTTTGCTTCAAGGTGCGTCATCTTTGTAGGATTTTTAATAAAAAGGTGTGTTTTACAAAGCCCAATCCCTACAAAAGAATACGTTGAATTATCGCAATTTATCTTGCTCTGTAGATTTTAAGGTAGGGTTTGTTTGACATTCGATATCTTTACTCACTGTGATTGTCAAAGAAAAGAACAAAAAGTTACAAGAGAAAACTGATGGGTTCGTTTTTATCAAAATTGTGGATTCCCCAAAGCTTTAAGGTATTTTTTTTCATTGGAAAAATACCTTGAAGTGACTGTGTGCCAAGATAACACAAAACCAACCGGTGGAAAGCCAATCCTGTTAATGAAATTTTCAAACACTAAGAATGTAGCGATAATTGTTGATAGTTTCCCTTGTTTTACAAGTCATTTTGGCACGAAAATTATTTGAGCCGGGGAGTGAGCATGACTTTCTACTATGTTCTGTCTACAGTAAGATAAGAAATATTTATAAAACATCTTTTAAGTTTGCATTCCTAAGAAGTAACTCAGATTTTATACGAATATGTCAATTAATCGTTCTTTTTTTTTGTTTTTGTCGAAACCGTGAGTTTTTAGTCAGTCTCAATAAAAATAAAATGAAATAAAATATAAAAATAATATATATAAACAAAACAAAAAAGAATGCATATTAAAATAAGTCATTTGCGATTTTCTTTAAAAACCCTTATCTTTCTTTCTTTCTTTCTTTCTTTCTTTCTTTCTTTCCTTCTTTCTTTCTTTCTCTCTCTCTCTCTCTCTCTCTCTAAACTTCTCTCTATATTTTTCTCTCTCAACTAACGAGAAGGCATCTCTAAAAGAAAAAGAGTTAAAAGAAAAGATGGAACCCGGCCGATAAACGATAGGTAAAGACGTTCAATTATTTTCTTTTTTTTTCTATGTGCTGTGTCCTTTCAGGACGTGGGCAATCATGGCTCTCCACCTCCCTCTGTCCCTTGTAGCTTTCAACAAGTTCCTTCCCTCTGCCACCGCCCTCAGACCACGTTCTGTCATCCACTTGCTTAAGGCCGCCAGATATATCACGCGTTGTTTTCACTTGCCTCTTTTTCCCTATATTCGACCCGTGAGTATTAGATTCTCCAAGCCCTCCTTCCTTATTATGTGTTCCATGAATTTCAGCTGCCGCTTCCTGGTGTTACGCTGATATCTAAAGAACAAATATTGCCGACATGTCAAATACCTTTTGTAAACAGTTATTCTCAACACCTGCCTATTTTGTGTTTTATGATGTATTGTGCTGAGTGTATTTGCAATATTGTTATTTCAAATAAGAGGTTTTTTAAGCTGGTTAAAAATTTCTGAAAACGTGCACTCGTGTATGATACGATTTTCTTTTTTTTTTTGCATTTAATTTTCGTTCAAAATGTTTCGTATTATA